CTGATGTGAAAGTGGAGACGGAAATGCTTGAAGAAGATGAAGAGAAGGTCGTTGAAACTACGCTAGAAAGTCAACAAGAAATTGTGATTGAAACTGCAGAAGAAACAACTGCAGAAGAAACTGCAGAAACAACTGCACAAGAAACTGCAGAAACAACTGCACAAGAAGTAGAAGAACACATTTCAGAAGTCAAAACAAGCGTTTCTGAAAAAACGGTAATAACAGTTCATTACTAGTGTTGTGAAATAAGAGAATATTAGGTGGTGGGCAAATGACCTTTGACAGCTGTTTGTGACATGTTGAAAGGTTATGATGCGCTAACCTTAGTGATCATTATTATGCTACGTTAACAGTGTCATCGAAAGAGATTTGCAATAGACAGGAATCAGAACTGGGGCTAGCATTCATTTCCATTGTCGTCTTTAATTCTTAATATCCTCAACTTTTGCAACACTAATGGTCTTTGAGAATCAATGTGATCCTAGTAAATTAAGATTCAGAAAATGACTAATATCTAAGTTTTCAATCAAATGTCAACGCAGAAGGATTTCTTTTTCTTTGTTCCCTATCTTCTAGAAACACAAATTACCTATAAGCCCAAAAATAAACCTGAAATACCCAAGCCGCGATCTCCAAAGAAGTGCGCTTGCACACATGAATATCTCCAATATCATTAATAGAACAACGGAGAATGAAATGTGTGCAATTTTCGTAAATCAGTTGAAATTTGAACGTCTCTCTTGAAAGTTCACATAACAGCTGCAGCAAGAATTTTTTAATGCTATTAGGCTTAAGGCTGTATTTACAGACCGTACAGCTGCAATGCTTTGGCAAAATTCTTCTTCTGTTGACTTTTATTTTAGGGTTCGATTATGTCCAAATTTTTGCAGTTTTCAACAAAAGCACCGCCGCCTTCTGAATCAAACATTTTCAGTATGATTTTCCTAATTGACGATGTTACAACGAGCTGAAAATTTGATTCCATTCCATCGCTGCGCCTAATAGTGCATCTAGTTGGATCTGGAAGCATTTCTATAACATTGTTATCACTGATCTCATATGACATCGTTTGAGGATGAATTGATCCCATAAGCAATAAGATAGTTAAAAATTTACTGCAGTTTGAAGCTTTTCAGTTTGAGGAGACGAAGGAATATGAATCAGTTGGAGCAGATGAAGCCGAAGAGCAGAAACAAGAGATTGTTGTCGAACAACACGTACCTAATGAAGACGCCTTCGAACTACAAGCGCCACCTGAGCCGAAGCGTCCTCGTACACCCAACGAACTTGACAACGTTACGCTAGAAGAAGAAGAAGAAGTTAATCGTGTTGCTGATGAAGATCTTTATAAAGACGAAAAGCCAACTGAAGAAAGTCATCGTGAACTTGAACAAGAACAAGTCAACGAAGAGAAGAATACACAAGAAGCTGCACCAGAAGTACCCACTGAAAGTGTTGCAGAGTCAGTGGAAGGTGAGTGGTTATGAGTTGTGCGGGCAGCGAGTTTCACACTGCTGATAAACAACTGATCCACCGTAAAGGCTTCGGAACTCTGATAAGTGATCTTTCTACTGCATGCTTTTGGCAAACAGTTCTGTCCTTTTTTGGAGCTGTTCTGTTTTATTTCAAGGAGTAGAACAGTTTCACTGAAATAAAACCACTACTAATTCTGATGTAATAATTTTCAGAACCTGCGACATTGTTGTCACGAAAAAGCAGCGCTTCAGGTCAGTTTTCATTTAATTAGTAAAATTTATTTTTGTTCATATACTCACGAATACTGAAGGAAAATAAGCCAAGAAGTCGGTAACTGGGATTCTCGCTGACGTTCAAGGCACGTCAGCTTTTCAATTGATGTCATGCTTTCTAGAAAGTACTATAGGACGGCTAATCGTCCATTCCTCCAAATCCAATTACGTGCAATAATCGCTTCAAACAGCGAAAGAATATAGTGATAACTTATATTTATTTTTGTCGCACAAAAGCGATGAATAATGAAATCTAAAATTGCATATGTACAAGTTTTAAACGGAGTGTAAGTATAACAACTAGTCCTTTGCAAAAGATTAGAAAAACCAAATTGAATACCATTTTGATTGCTGCGCCTGCAACGACAATAACTTGTTTCAAATCATACTTTGCTTATTAAAATGCTAAAAGCGCAATCGCTCTTTGGGTTCCAAAATCGCTCACCTACCGACTCTTCTTCCAAATTCACTTTTTGCTCGTCGATTTCAACCATTAATGAGTTCCAAATTAAGCGACTGAGAACCCTTGCTCTAGAACAGTGGTTCTCATAGGAGGAGGAATTGCCCATTTTGGGTTATTTGGAGGTGTCAAGGGGTAATGGAGGGGGTCGGGAAATTAGTATTTCGTGCAGTTGTTATGTTACGATAGAACGCCATTGACATGGTGCTTTTTAACTCGATTTAACACGGTTTTCATTCTTTTCCTTGCTGTTACAATTGCTCTCATAAGTTTTATCACCAAAAGTGTTCTCTTTTGCTAATTTCTCGTTCATTTCACTGAATAATTAAAGTCAAATTCTCATTCTATCAAAGACACTCTATAATTGATCACTTGACTGTCCAACGTTGTTGAGTAATAATATTCTATTGTTGTATTGTGGGTTTCGGCTGTCAACATTGGTCAATGTATCCAGTAAATAGTATATACTACAGAATGAGAAGTTGATTTGAACTGTGAAGTGAAATGAGACGAAGCGAATGAGACAAACTCATGAAGAGAACGATATTGGCATGTA